TTTGAATGCTGCTGCTGCAGCAGCGCTTCGTCTGTCAACTGAACCTCGACCTCGCTCTGCTCCTCCTGCTCCTGCTGCTGCTGCTGCGGCTGCTGCTGCTGCAGCTGCTGCTGCTGCTGCTGCTGCTGCTGCTGTGAAGAGTAGACCCTCCCCAAGCCTAAGAAGCGGCGGCGCAGCAGCAAGGGGGACCGTAACGGACTGTTTGCTGCTGCTGCTGCTGCTGCTGCTGCTGCTACGATCTCTTCTTCTCTATCAACACCAAACGAGCTGCTGCTGCTCCTGCTGCACCTAGAGCTGTACTCATCTGCTGCTGCTGCTGCTGCTGTTGCTGCTGCTGTGTTCATGCTGCTGAAATCCGGGGCACACTCGGCCTCTGCTGCCTCAGCAGCAGCAGCAGCAGCAGCAGCAGCAGCAGCAGCACGGCGCTCCGCTTCAGCTCCTCCAGGTGCGGACATCGGTGTGCCTAAAGCTGCTGCTGCTGCTGCTGCTGCTGCTGCTGCTGCTTCTGCTTCTGCTGCTGCTGCCTCTGCTGCTGCTGCCTCTGCTACTGCTGCATCTGCTGCTGCTTCTGCTGCTGATGCTTCTGCTGCTGCTTCCTCCATGCTGGAGATATCGAATGTCTCAGGTTGCTGCTGCTGCTGCTGCTGCAGCAGCTGCTGCTGCAGCAGCAGCAGCTCCCTGTATGGGGGGGAGTTGCTGCGGCTGCTTCTTAGGGCCTCCCGCAAGCGCAGCAGCGACTGCAGCGCGACGCGGTGGTCACTTGCTTCTGCTGCTGCTGCTGCTGCTGCTTCTATTTCTGCTTCTGCTGCTGCTGCAGTTGCTGCTGCTGCAGTCTGAGCATCAGACGCTGCTGCTGCTGCTTCTCCTTCTGTTGCTGCTGCTTCTGCTGCTGCTGCTGTTTCAGCTGCGTCCTCACCGCCGCCGCTTGAGAGTGTACGCAGGAATGACTCCCACATCCCTGCTGCTGCAGCTGCTGCTGCAACAGCTGCTGCTGTTGCTGCTGCTGCTGCTGCTGCTGTTGCTGCTGCTGCTGCTGCTGCTGCTGTTGCTCTTTCTGCTGCTGCTGCTGCTGCTGCAGAACGGGGAACTGCGGCCGCTTATCTAGGCTTTTGCTGCGCCGCAGCCGTCAGCTGTATGAGCAACAGAAAATGCAGCAACAGCTGCAGCAGCAGCAGCAGCAGCAGCAGCAGCAGCAGCAGCACACGCTGCAGCAGGGTATGGCGGTGTGAGGGGGGCCATGTGCCTTAGCAGGCACACCCGGTTGCTGCAGCAGCAGCTGCTGCTGCTGCTGTTGCTGCTGCTGCTGCTGCTGCTGCTGCTCACTCAACAGCCTCAGGGGGCCCCCGCTGCTGGGTGTCGAGCAGCAGCAGCAGCAGCAGCAGCAGCAGCAACAGCAGCAGCAAGAGCAGCAAGCTTAGTCAAAGGTGACAAGTTCTAGCGGAAATATATTTAAAATATAAATAAAAGCAAAAAAGAAAAAACAAAATTTGTGTTTGTTGCTGCTGTGTAGCAGCAAGAGCTTCTTAGGTTAATAAATTTGCTGCTGCTGCTGCTGCTGCTGCTGCTGCTGCTGCTGCTGTTGCTGCTGCTGGTGTTATTGCTGCAGTTATTCAACCCTCTATATAATATTTAATTTGTCTTTTTATATTTAATATATAAATATAATAATTTAATTTAATTTATTTATAAAATAAAAAAAAAAAATAAACATTTCTCTCTCGCTTTTCTCTTGCTGCGGTGTCTGCACGACTGCTGCGTCCGCTGCTGCTCTCCCTCGGTTGCTTCATCTCCTTCTCTCTCCTTCTTTTTATTTTTATTTTTATTTTTATTTATTTATATTTATTATTATTTTTATTTATTTTTCCCTTTATTTTCTGCTGCCTTTCTCCTTCTACCTATCAAACGACCCCCCTAGCCCGGGGCCCCTCGCAGCAGCAGCAACACACACCAGCAGCAACACAGCAGCAGCAGCAGCAGCAGCAGCAGCAGCATTAGCAGCAGCAGCACAAACTCCATATATTATTACATAAACATCCCCTGCGCAGCAGCAGATCATCAACAGCAGCACAAAACCACCACAACAACGACCACAACCAGCAGCAGCAGCAACAGCAGCAGCAGCAGCAGCAAGCTCATCTCTATAAGCCCCTCCAATGCCAGGCAGAGGCCGGGGGGCCCCTGGGGGCCCCAGGGGGGGCCCCCGCAGGGGCCGCAGCAGCAAACCCCAGAGGGGCTGTCGCCATACCCCCTCAATAGAAGAGGTGATGGCGAGGAACGCAGCAGCAAGCAGCTCAGAAGACAGCGAGCAAGAACAAGAGGAAACACAGCAGCAGCAGCAGCAGCAGCAGCAGCAACATGGGCGCAGAGGACCACTCGCACAGCTGGATGATGAAGTGCGTCAGTACAACCACATGCAGCAGCAGCAGCAGCAGCAGCAGCAGCAGCTGGAGCAGCAGCAGTAGCAGTAGCAGCAGGAGCAATAGCAGCAGCAGCAGCAGCAGCAGATGAAGCAGCAGAAGAAGCAACACCATAAGCAGCGGCACCAGCTGCAGCATCAGCGAGGAATAGCAGCAGCAGCAATAGTAGCAGCAGCAGCAGCAGCAGCAGTAGCAACAGCTGCAGCAGCAGCAGCAGCAGCAGCAGCATGTGTATGATGTGTTGCTGTGTTTCTTTTTGTGGTTTTTCTTTTGCGTTGCAGGACGGCGAGCCTCTGGTTAGTTTTATTATTTTTATTATATTTTATATTTTTATTTTTATTGTTATTTTTATTTTTTTTTGTTTATCTTTTATTTCTTTTTTATTTGTCTTTGTCTTCTCTCTTTCAGGTGGGTGGAGGCAATCTGAATCGCAGCAGCTCTGCTGCTGCTGCTGCTGCTGCTGAGCCGTCAAGAAGAGAAAGAGAAGAAATGCAAAAGGCGCAGCAAGCAGCACTGATGCAGGTTTGCTGCTGTCTTTGTCTTTGTCTTTGTTTTTTTTTTATTTTATTTTTTTTTTTATTTCTTTTTGTCTTTGTATTTGTTTCTATATTTTTCTTTGTCTTTGTCTTTGTTTTTTTATTTTTTTTTTATTTTTTTCTGTCTTTGCTGCTGTTTGTTTTCTTGTTTTTTTATTTCTTCATATAATATTATTTTTATTATAAATAAAAATAATTTTATTTATTTTTTTTTATTTTTTTATTTTTTCTTTATTATTATAAATATATATAATTATTATATTATTGTAATTATATACAAAAATAATACTACTATATTATATTATAAAATATTATATTATAAAATATTATATTTATGTTTATATTTACATTTATATTTATATT